CATGAGATAATGTCCATCTTTATCTATTATGCTGGTTTTTGCCTTAAAGTTTATTTTATCAGAGATTAGTACTGCCACTCTTGTTAGTTTTTTTTATTGCAATTAGCTTGGTATATTTTTTTCTATCCTTTGACTTTTAATCTGTTTTTGTCTCTGTGCGTAAGATGTGTCTCTTGCAGACAGCATATTGAAGGATCTTGTTTTCTTATCCATTCTGCCACCCTCCGTCTCTTTACTGGTGCGTTTAGTCCATTTACATTCAGTGTAACTCTCGATTGTTGTTGTTTTTGTTGTTATGTGCATGGAGTCGGTTAATTCTCCATAAATATGGATTAATTGCTGCCATTATGTTTGTCTTTTTGTGGTGTTGCTGCTTTCTTTGTTCTGTGCATCTTTCTTTGCTGAGTTCATGGTTTTTGTGTTCTTTCTTGTGAGTAAGTTTCCTCATAGTTTTAATATTTCCATGTTCATCTTGGATTTTCATTTTCTTGGTATGTTGTGTAGTGTTAATTTTCTTCATTTTCTTGGTATGTTGTGTAGTGTTAATTTTCTTTGAAGTTACCTTATATTCCATTAACTTTTCTCTCCATTTAGTGCAGTCTATTTTATCCTGTACTCTAACTGACCTTCTCACCATCAGGATCACTGTTCCTACGTGTTTACCTTGTTTTACATTGTAATTGTTTTGATCATAGACTGACCTCCCAGATTCTCTGAGTTTGTTCTTATAGTTTTGTTCTGTTCTTAACCCTTCCATCTGTCAATTTAGTTCTGGGAAGTGCTGCCATGTATGTCAATCTCTGGTTGTTGTCAGTTCTCAGTCTGTTGGTTCTCAGTCCACAGAAATCCCTTTAGGATGTTTTCTAGTGCAGGGTTGGCTTTGGCAAAATCCCTTAGCTTCTGTTTATCCTTGAATGTTTCGATAACACCCTTGTATTTGATTGATAGCTTTGCGGGATAAAGGATTCTTGGTCGACAGCTTTTTTCTTTCAGGGTTTTATATAAGTCACCCCATTGCCTTCTTACTTGCATGGTTTCTGCTGAGAGATCCGAGCTTAATCTGACTTGCTTGCCTTTGTATGTAACGCTTCTCTTTTCCCTAGCTGCTTTCAGGATTCTGTCCTTTGATTTTGGAGAGCTTGATTATGATATGTCTCAGTGATTTTCTTTTGGGGTCTATCCTTCCTGGGGTTTGTTGAGCTTCTTGAATGCTTATCTTTTTACTTTTCAGGAAGTTAGGGAAATTTTCTTCCAGCAGTTCTTCAACTATTTCTTCTGTGGACTTGTGTGATTCTTCCTGTTCCAGAATGCCAATAATTCTTTAGTTATTCCTCTTCATGTTGTCCAACATGAATCTTAGAACTTATTCAGATTTTTTTATCCTATTTTCTGTTTGTTCTTCTATATTAGTGGTATTGAGAGATTTGTCTTCCAGCTTACTATTTCTGCCTTCCATATCTTCTAATCTACTCCTTTGCCCTTTCAATGTATTGTCTATTTCTGATATTCTATTTTTGATCATTTGGACATCTTTCTGTAGGTTTGAATTGTTTCCAATGCTATATCTATCTTATTTGATTGTTCCTGTAGTGTTCTCCTGACTTCTTCCTTATTTTTCTCAACTCTATTGTAAAGTGTTTTGAAACATTTTATAATCATTTTTCTGAATTCCTTCTCAGGCATTTCCAAGGCCTGCCATTTTTCCAGAATGTAGTCCTGGTCTACCTCCAGCTCATTTGTCTCAGCCACTTTATCTTGTTTCTGGACAGGTGCTGATATGGTCATCTGTTTCTGTTTTGGGGGGCATATTCAGTAATTAGCTGTGGCCTTGATACTTAGATGGGTGTGTGTTTTGGTATTTTTTATTCTTTCTGATTGCCTCCAGGTAGATGTGATCAAGATGTGGGCTTCCCTTTTCACTCTTCTTTTTGCTTGACTCAGAGTATTGTCTGTCTCCCTGGTGTATGGCAGTTGGTATCGGTTCTTGCCTGAATTTTGGTGTTTTATAGAGTGTGATTGCAGCTTGACTATATGTCAGCAGTTGCTATCTCTTCTTGGGAGAGAAAAGTCCTCCAAAGGTAAAAGGGGGAGCATAAAACAGCAAAAGCAAAAAAAAAAAAAAAAGAAACATTAACAACAAAAGAAACACACCAAAAAACCCCAAAACCAACAACAACAATACTAGATTGGATACTGTAGTCTATAATCACAGAAAAGGGAGAGAAAGGAGAGAAGGGAAAAAATATATATATAGCCTAATATGTGTATGACTTTAATGACCTCTTTCAACTTCTTGCCTTCATAGCCACCTGATAAATTTCATGATGCCACTGTTGGTTATTATGGTGTACCTCAGGATTTAATTTAATTTTCGGCCTGTTTTGTTTTTAAACTCTCTTTCTCTCTCTACCCCCCTTGTTCTGGCCTTTTTGCTATCAAAAAGCAGTTCAGGGATGGCTCTTAGGCTGAGAGTATCTGTAACCATTCGTGGCAGAAGAATCCACCAGTGGTGGGGGTGTGTGTGGGGGTGTCCAGTCACTCGGGCTTTCTGTCTAGTCACCAGAATGGAGGTACACAAACAGTTGTTGGACCAATGAACAGACACCAAAAAGAAAAAAATATCAGAACCAAGCAAAACCGACAAAGTGTATTGTCTACCTTTGCTCCGAGGTTGCTGCGGTGTTATTCCATGGCGGCTCTGTTTGGTCTTGCCCAAGTTGTCGTCTTTTAGCTGCTGAGCCCGGCAGATTAAAAAATACGCGATTTCTTACTTTGGCTACAAGTTCCACTAGCTATAAAAGCCTTCAAACTTTTAAAATATTCCTACCTATTTGGCTCAGAGTTTTGGATCTCTTCCCTAGACCCTTTTCTCTTTGTATTTTGTGGTATTGCTGATGGCTAACTATACTGCACCTCTACCTAATCCGCCATCAAGCCCCGCTCCATTATTTTTTAATTCCATTTTTCCATGAACTTTTCACAGCCCTTTTGTATTTAGAAAAATAAAAAGCTTTTAAACTGATTTGAATTAGAAGACTTAGAGGTCTAGACAAACAGTACCTGTGATTTGGGACCTGATTCTAACTCATTTAATGCCATAAGACCAGGATAACTAAGGAAACTATAGGGATTGTACTGAGTTTGCTTAAAGATTGTACAAAAATAATATTTCCTCTTATATAAATAATATATGCTCATTATAGAAATTTTGAATTATGGTATTTGCAAATATAGAATGTTCCACAGACTACCAGAAGAACAAACAAATCTGTCTTGGAAGAAATACAGCCAGAATACTCCTTAAGCGAGGATGGCGAGACTTCATCTTTTGTTCTTTAGATATTTGGTCAAGGGGGATCAGTTCCTGGAGAAGGACAGCATGCTGAGTAAAGTAGAGGGCCAACAAAAAAGAGGAAGACTCCCACAAGATGGATTGACACAGTGGCAGCAGCAGTGGGCTGACACTTAGGTACAACTGTGAGGCTGGTGCAGGGGCAGGCACTGTTTTGTTTGGTTGTGCACAGGGTCCATATGAGTCAGAATCAGCTCAATGGCACTTACCAACAATTACAGAAAGCTTGGAAAAGAAAATCATCTAAATGGAATAAGCCAGACATCATTCTTTTGTCACCCTACCCATTATAACCATCGTATTTATCTTTATGAAACCCTCCATTTCCTTGTTTTTCTCTTTTGTATGCATGAAAAATCCAGCCCACTGCCATCGAGTTGATTCTAACTCATTTCAACACTACAGGGCAGAGTTGAGCTGTTCCGTAGGATTTCCAAGGCTGTAGATCTTTACAGAAGAATGCCACATCTTTTTGCTTTGGAATGGTGGATAGGTTTAAACCACCAGATTTTCTGTTAGCAGCTGAATGTGTTTAACCATTGTGCTCACTATACATAAATATATGTACACACACACACACACACACACACGTATAGATGATATTTATGGACTTCTGGTGTGGTGCTGTCGTATAAAGCACTGGACCGCAAGGTTGATTTAAAACACAGGTCAGCAGTTCAAGCCCACCAGCTGCTCCTTGGAAATATATAAGGGGTTGCTATGATTTGGCACCGACTTGAAGGCACTTAACAGCAACAACAGGGTGAACCCTTAGATCTGCATTTCTAATAGTCTCAAGGTGATTTCAGTGATGGTCTGGGTACTATACCTTGAGAAAAAAGCATCTAGATCATGTGTGTCTTTACTATAAATTAATCTCCAAGTGAAAGCCTTGATGGAGAAAGCAAAAGAAAACGAATCTCTGCTGACTCAGCCTGCAGTCTACATGTGTTGTAACCACGTTGTTTCATGCTGCCACATCGGTTCAGACTCTTAGCGATCATGCGCACAACCAAACAAAACACTACCCAATCCTGTACCATCCTCACAATTGTTATATTTGAACCCATTGTTGTTGCCACTGTATCAATCCATCTCCTTGAGGGTCTTCCTCTTTTTTGCTGACCCTCCAACTTATCAAACATGATATCCTTCTCCAGGGACTGGTCCTTCCTGATCACATGTCTAAAATTTTAACCTTACTCAACTCTAAAAAAAAAAAAAAAAAAAAAAAAAGTAACTGTTTTCCAGTACAATGAAAGTAGACTATTTTAATTTGATCATTCAATATAACAAAAAATGTTTACTTTGTTTCAATATTGGTCCAAGTTTCTAAATTCTGAAAGAGCAATGCTGAGGAAACTTACATTTCTCTGGTAGATCAGATGTTTGACTCTCTTTAACCGTTTTTTTTTTTTTTTGGTCAATAATGCCATTTCTGTTAATGATGCCATTTTAAAAGTGGTCACTGAAGTGGTACTTCTATCTCCTCCACACTGACATCTATGTCTTTGCAGGCCCGGGCCATTTTTGTGCTTATTGTGCTGATCCAGCTCACCGTTCTCATTATTTTTAGGTATCGAAAACTTCCAGAACTTAAAGGTTAGTTGTGGTTCTTTCCATTCTTAGAAGACTTTATTTTAAAGCCATCACATCATAGCCTCACTAATAATACCCAGTGATAAGTGTCAATATAGATGGCCTTTGCATGAGTTCTGTGAGTTACATCCATCAAAATGATTGTATTACTTTCACATTACTCTATTTTGGGGGGAAAAATTGTTTTGGCTGCATACTGGATGCAAAATGAGGCTCAACTAAAATGGGGGGACAAATCAAAATATATAGCTCCAAGTGACAAACTTTTGATGTCATTAGTTATTTAATCTAATTCTAAAACCTGTTCACTCAAATAATTAGAGATAAAGTTAAAAAAAAAAAAAGGCTTGGCAAATTAAGCTGTATCTGTATACATTCTGAATTACATGTACAGAGCAAGCTATAGAAATGTTTTAAAGAAAGTGACTTTATCTGCGGTGACCCTAACTCTCTTGATAGATGTCTGTACCTGGATATGTTCCCTCCCTATAATCTGGTAGCAGAGTGAAGAGAAAATGGAGGTTAATTGATAATTATTAGTATGTAATCACTCTTAGAGGAATATGAACTTTAAAACAGGGTCAGTGAATAAGGAGGGCCCTACACCTTAACCAGATTTCTTCCCATACTTTGTAACCATTGTTCCTAATTTTTGAGGGCCTGAGATTTAGGGGAGTATTTGTCTGTAGTCACAATCATGCCTCATCTCAGACTTCTTAAGAATGAATTCTTGTCCTACTGTGGTGCTGTAGGACAAACACTGGATGGCTAACTGCAAGATTGGTGGTTCAAATCCACCAGCCGCTCCTTGGAAACCCTATCCAGGGTCTCTGTGAGTCAGAAACCACTCCATGGCACTTCTTAACAACAACAACAGATGACATATATGCAAGTGCCTACTTTGATGGTTGGCACATAACAGAGGCTACATAAAAATCGAATCTCATGCCATTGAGGAAGTAAATAAAGATTTGTCATGCTGTTTCTGGTAGCTGCTAAAAATTTTGCCAAGCCTATGTAGGAATAATTTTAGAACATTAGAAAGGTCTTTGGCTGTTTATTTCCTTCTAGTTACTCTGCAATGAACTACACTGATACTAGCTTGAATAGTGGTGCTTTAAATGGTCTTTTGAACAGTTAAGCTTCCCACAGGTATGTTTAGACAAAAGAATAATATTCAGTTATGGTAAAATATCTTTTTATAAACATATCTGTAAAAAAGCACTATCCAATATTGACTATTCATAGTTGTTGTTAGGTGCCATCGAGTCAGTACCAACTCATAGCGACCTTATTCACAGCAGAACGAAACACTGCCCGATCTTGAGCCAACCTCACTACTATTGCCACACTTGAGTCCATTGATGCTGCCACTTGGCCAATCCAGCTCGTTGGGTCTTCCTCTTTTTCTCTGACCCTCCATCTTACCAAACATGATATTGTTCTCTAGTGACTGGTCCTTTCTGACAATATGTCCTAAGTATGAGAGACAAAGTTTGGCCATCTTGGCCTCCAAGGAGCACTCTGGCAGTACTTCTTCCAAAACGGATCTGTTGGTTTTTTTGGCAGCCTATGGCACTTTCAACATTCTCCTCCAGCACCATAACTCAAAGGCATCAATTCTACGGTCTTCCTTATTCACTGTCCAGTTTTCGAATGCGTATTAGATTATTGAAAATACCATGACTTCGGTCAGGTGCACCTTAGTCCTCAAGCTGACATCTTGCTCTTCAACACTTTAAAAAGGTCTTGTGCAGCAGATGTGCCTAATGCAATACATCGTTTGATTTCTTGACTGATGCTTCTATGAGTGTTGATAGGTGATCCAAGAAGAATGAAGTCCTTGACAACTTCAATCTTTTCTCTGTTGGTAAGAATGTTGTTTATTGGTCCAGTGGTGAGGATTTTTGTTTTCTTTACATTGAGATAGAATCCTCTTTGATCTTCATCAGTAAGTATTTTAAGTCCT